CCGCCGTCCATGAGGACTCAGGTGAGATGGTATCCGTCGATTATTGGGTCGAGCACCAAGGCAACTGAACCTCCTTGCCGGATACTAGTCGGATGATCCCTACGATCGAAAGTGATCGGGCAGGCCGACCATGGGTTGAATTTGGGGGCGACGGGCTCTACAGCATATACATCTCGGAGTGCGTGTTTGCGCTTCCTCTTTGGTATGTGAGTGGCGTAAATCATGTTCACTATTTTGACCTTTGGTGGGAATTTTTTCTGTCCCCCAGTGTTCGGCTGGCGAGGCTCGTCCTCATCTTCACTTGGCGGCTCCCTCCCTTTGTGTTCGGTGTTTAGCTTGCCGGCTTGATGGAAAACCCAGGATTCTCTATTGGTGTGATTCGCAGGTTTCTCAGGGGTGCCATGAATCTGACAGGACCTGTCTAGAATTTTATTTAGGCTGGACAGACCATCTCTGCTGCCTTTGAATGGCTTTTTCCGTTGATCGGGTCTAGAGCCCCTGAATCCGGCGTTTATCGCTGTATTGTTTGGGTTGTCTTCATTATTTCGAAGTTTGTTTATATTGCGTCGCGGCTTTCCATTGCCATCCCTGATTTCGGATGTGCCTGGGTCGTTGGTGCCGCTGCGGGCCAACCAGCTGTTCTCACCCGTGCAAAAGCGGTTCATAAGAGTTGTTAGGGCTGCCATTGTCCTCGGATTTTCCTGGCCGTGGTGTCTGGCCAGCCATTCGTCCAGGACACTGTGTTTGAAAGCTGCTAGGGCTTCAGCATCCGGACAGTCGACGATTTGGTTCTTCTTGGTGAGAAATCTGTTCCAAAGCTTTTGGGATGACTCTCCGGGTTGTTGGATTATGTGACTTAAATCGTCTGCATCCGGAGGTCGGACATAGGTCCCTTGAAAATTAGCCCTGAAAGCGTCCTTGAGTTGCTCCCAGCTTCCAATGGAATTTTTGAGAAGGCTTTTTAACCAGTGTCGAGCTGGTCCTTTGAACTTGAGGGGCAGGTATTTGATGGCGTGGAGATTGTCTCCGCGAGCCATATGGATGTGAAGAATAAAGTCCTCAATCCAGACTGCAGGGTCTGTCGTTCCGTTGTATGCCTCGATGTTTACGGGTTTAAACCCCTCTAGAAATTCATGATCCAGCACCTCATTGGTGAAGCACAGGGGGTGTGCGGCGCCCCTGTACTTGGATGTGTCGTGGCGTGGGTCCGACGGTTGTAGTGTTTAGTGTTGATTCCGAGCTGGTAGTCGATCAGTATAGTCGGTTTGGTGGCCTTGATCCTGCATAGGAACACATTTTCTAGATCCATAGATGGACCTGGCCATACCAGCTGTTTTGTCCAGGTGCTCACGTTGATCGTGTGCTGACTTGTGTGCGGCGTCATTAGCCGCTTTGTCTCGACCACGGGGTGGTCGGTCCGACAGATCGGCCGTATTGTTTTTCATGGGCGCGATAGCCTCGTCGTCGAATTCGGGCAGCAACTTGCATTTTGGGTAGCTCTTTGTGTGGCGATCACCATCGTATATTTCATTAGTGTCGAGCACTTTGTTCCATCTGTGGTTGAGCGTATCCTGCGCGGCTTTTAAGCCGTTGCTTCTGCTTCTTCAAGCTCCTCACGGTGGCAATAAGACTTTTGTGGAGGTGCTATTGTTCCAAGTGCTTTTTCGGGATGATGTGTGCATCGTCGTCCGGACTGTTCTCCTCTCCGGAGACAGGTTTATAAGTTTTGTCTTCGGCATCGCTGTGATCGGACAGCGGCCCCAGACTCTGTTTGTCGTCTCCTTGCCCGTCCTGCTTAATCGTTGGGTCTGCGGGGTCGTCGTTGTCTTCGGCATCGTCTGGGGTGTTATTCTTTCTTGTACCAGTGTCGCTGTTTTTGCTATGGCGGGGTTCAGAGCGGCGCCGCTGACGTCGGAGCTTTGGCTACTTCTCAGGAGTTGTTGCATCCGTCTGCTCCTCGCCATTGTTTTCTTTGGGTGTGTCCACCATGTATATGTCATATGACGAGGTGGCTGTCCAGCGCCCTGTGGTCGGTGGTTCCTGTTCTACCCTGGTATCGTTGTCCATACCATCGATGTCTTCAGAGTCGAAATCAAGCATGTCGGTTGAGTCGTCGACAGTGGCTATTAAGTGGGTGGTGGGTTGGTAACGAATTCCTTCGTCGTTCGCTTCCCACCCAAGCCGGACATAGTTCGACCAAGAGTTTCCTGACAAGGAGAGAGTTTTTAATGAGTTTAGCACATCGCCCAAGGGCGAGTGCTGAAAGATATCCGCGGAGCTAAACTCCCTGATCGGTGCCCAGTTAGATCCGATGGGCACAGATTCATGCGGTTCGGAGCCTATGGCCGGAGACGAGTCTGAGGGTCCGATGACACAGACCTCCTTGGAAGTGAAATCTGTGTTTGGCTCTACCGCCGCTGAGTGTGCGGCCTTCGTGGCAGGGTCCATCCTCCTGTCCTCGGATGGCACGATCTGCACTGGATTTAAAGCCAGGGCAGCTGCAGGTGTGATCTCCTGAACACCGTCCGACGGCAGATCTAGGTCATGCTCGTTGCGACTGTTGGGTGCACCTGTCATGGGCTCGAATCCGTCGAAGATCAAGTCTCCGCGGATGTCGGCAGTGTAATTCAGGCTTCCAAACCTGACCTGATGGCCAGGGGCGTAGCTATCGATCTGCTCCAGATGGCCAAGCGAGTTGGCCCGCAGTGCAAAGCCGCCAAATACGAAGATCTGTCCAGGGAGGAAAACCTCACCCTGGACCGCATCGTTGTAGATGATCGAGGGGGCCATCAAGCCTTATGGTGTCGACATAGTGGAACTCTCAATGAAAGCACCAATGTCGATGTCAAAACCGGCGGATCTCGGGTAGGGGGTCCCGAACTGTGCGTCTAAGGCTAATGGTAACAGGAGGCGGGGGACACGATGTTTACCCAGGTTCGGGCCCTCTCTATGGAGGTAATACCATACTTCCTGCTTGATTGATCTTGATGATATGGGTATTACAAGAGTTGATCTACCACGAGATCGTAGAGGCTAAACCCTAGAAGCTAGCCTATGATTATGATTGTTGTTGTCCTACGGACTAAACCCTCCGGTTTATATAGACACCGGGGGGGCTAGGGTTACACAGAGTCGGTTACAGAGAAGGAAATCTACATACTCCCTCCTTCCATCTATATAGGGCCTAATGCGTTTTTCAAGACCGCCTTTGACTGTTGATAAAATTAATACTACATGACATGCATAATGTGAAAATTATATCATTGAAAGCTCCTTTCACATACGAATTTGATGATGTGCTTTGTGTAAGTTGCATGTCATATATTATTGCTCTAATATTTGGTCAAAGTTAACCTCGAAAAACACATTAGGCCCTATATAGATGGAAGGAGGGAGTATCCGAATTGCCAAGCTTGCCTTCCACGCAAAGGAGAGTCCCACCCGGACACGGGACGACGTCTTCAATCTTGTATCTTCATAGTTCAACAGTCCGGCATAAGCATATAGTCCGGTTGTCCGAGGACCCCCTAATCCAGGACTCCCTCAATTACATGCATGAAGCTACTAGCTCGTGACAGTGGAACTTGCTCAAGCGCCGGCTAATAATTCAAACTTTTTATTCATCCTATGGAAGAGCTAAGCCATGGCTAATCATGTTTAGCACAAAGTGCATGTAGAAGGGTGGCTTCTTAAATATGCACGACGTCCAGCGATTAGTTCTTGGGCAACAGACGCATCTACAGTACTAGGATGATTCTAATGACTTATTATGGTGAACTAATTAAACGACTTAAATGTGTATGAAAATTATGTGCTCTCGATGGGTGGGACAGAAAGTGTGGGGCCAAATGAGTTGGCAGGCATTTTGTCGGGTCGTGACCACCCCACCCCCACCCCCACCCCCCCCATTCGGTACATGTCCTCATCACATGTACCAGGTTGGGTACAAGTTACTACCAGTGCCAGATTTCGTCATACTAAGGAGATGGATCGAGGAACATTTGCTACTACCAGTGAACAAATCCAGGACCTAACAATGTGCTTTACCCGTCATATATTACATGTTGTAAAAGAACTACTACGTTGTTATACATTGATTCATAAATGCGTTATGGCAATCCACATGCAAACGAGTGGTGCCCATAAGCATACCACTAGACGCCATGCACCAAAGGAGCTTTTCGGTTGTCAATCCCCTTAGCCGTCTGATAATCTTTCTATAGGTTCCCTGGAGAGAATGGTCTCATCACTATTGTCGTCAATTTCAAGGATTAAATTTGATAATGATAGATATACAAATAAAATAAAATAAAAACAGCAGGCAATTTTAGGTTTTTAGGGCATGTTCAATGGTTGATAAGGTAGTCTTATCTTAAATCTTGCATATAATTTAGAGACGACAAAAAAACATGTCTACAATGGGTCATCTCTTAGTCTTATCTTCAATAACTAGATATTTTTAAAAACGTGGTGAGACATATTGTGTTAAGAGATCATCTCTTGTCTTCTCTTAAATAAGAGAAGACAAGCCTTTTCTTATGATTTCTCTCTCCTCCACCTCATCATTTATCCTATGTGACATTGCTAAGGTAGAACCGTAGAACCATTGTACATGCCCTTAGTAATAAATCGTTCACTAGAGGCATCTCTCTCATAAGCATGGCATCGACAAGTAAACAAATTACCGTTGGGCAATTGATAGAACACTCTGAGTGGCGACCACACCAACACTCCGAGTGGCGCAGCCAGCCGCTGGACATGAACATGGCGGATCTGGACGAGCTCCGCTCAAGATTATGTTCCACGCGCATGTAATTATATAGATTTGAGGATTCGTAATTGAGGCATAGGGTGAAAACAATAATTTAAAGTGTGATCACTTGGGTGATCACCCTAGATTTGGTGTATTCAGGGGTGTAAATACTCTAACGATGCTCTTATCCACGATTCCGTGTCATCATTGGCGTGGCCGCCCTTCCGCTCAAACAGCGGAATATACTCTACGTAGAGTGATCGGATAGGCCATAGGCCCTCCTATCTCTGACGACGGGGGAGAAGGAGAAATCAGAGCAGGCAATGGAGTCTACGCTAATCACGAGATTATCCCCCCTCCTCCCCTCTCCCTCCAAGCCCAGGCCCCTCTCCTCATCCCCCCTCGCCGGAGCTCGCCGCATCGCCTCCATTTCCTTCTCATCCGGCAGCGTATGTGGCGTCTTGCGTCCCCGCGGCGGCGTTACCTCGTCGGTCACCGCAGCGGCGGCGGCGCTCGGCGAGGCGGCAGAGGCCGGGTCTGAGGCCATCTTGCTCAATGTTCAGGTGCTCCTCTCGCCCCGACCACTAGTCTGAATTTCGAACACCCCGACTCTCCATTCTGTTATTATCTTCGATTTGCGCTAGAGGCCGAGAGGGTTAGGGCTCAGGCATGATGCGCTGCTGTCTGGCTCTTACTTGCAGGGCATGATGTGCGACGGGTGCGCTGCCAGTGTGAAGCGGATTCTCGAGAGTCAGGTAGTCCGTCTCTCTTTCACTTACTCACTATTCATTTCTCTTGGGAAATTATGTGACCAAACCAATGGACAGTTCAGCACAGTAGGGCAGTGACTGAACTACGGTTAATTTTCTTTTGTCCATCGCAATAATTGATACCTATGCTCATATAAATTTTACTGAAGAAAAAACGGGAATGGATGAATCTGAAACAAAAAGAACGCAGAACACAACATCGTACTGGGTTTGTGCATAGAACGTAAGAGGAGCAATTCATTGATGAAGCTTAAGTAGTTAACTAGAGGTTAGAGAATGGGGATTGCCCAGATAGGTGTCCTCTTTTGCCTGCCTTCAATCCGAACATGACCTGAAACCATACGGGTCCTAAGTTTTCATCATAAAAGGCCATAAAAGTTTTAGTTGCTAGTCTTTGTATATTTGAAATTTCTGCCAGTGGTTGAGGGGGACGCCTGATCAGAAAGTAATGAATTGATGGGAGAAAGAAATTATCTCTTCATTTTTGCAATGCATTTACAGATTAATTTCGATTATGGCAGCAATGACTGGGTAGAGAGGGCAGCTGCCCATATGCTGAAAGCAACCGCTGTCATCTTGCTCAGCAAGGAAATGTATGGTTGATGTGGCATTTTGGTAAAGCAATTATCTGTATACGGATGTTAACTATATTGACCTGTCTAGATGTTTTCTTCCTATCATTCCAGATTCTTGAAACCCTTTCTGTTTCTACTATTTATTTCTTCTTTGATCTTTTGCTGCTGCTCACCATGGGCCATTCTTAATCCCTTCTTCAGCCTGAGGTTACTTCTGCTACAGTTGATTATAAGGAAGCAAGGGCTGTCGTGTGGACAACTCCTGAGGTCAAGGTGGCAGAAGATTGGCAGAAACAATGTGGAGAGAAACTTGCAAGTCATCTTGGTACTTGTGGATTTGAGTCTCACCCACAAGGTAAACTAATTGCTCGAGTTCTTGTGTGACCTGCTCCAGAAAATATGGAAGTCTAGAAGAAATAAAGATCTATTCCTTGTCTGCCTATGAATTATCGTCCCGACACAGAAGCACATCAAAATTTTATCATGTAAACATTTGGTCGGTAATGTACCAAATTGGTGCAGAATTATCCTAATTCAGTACCACAATAATGAAAATCCTGATCATCCTTACAGGAATGGACTGCCACTAAATATAGGCTATATACACATCAACCAGGACCAAACTCGCTATGGGATGTCCTTGAGCATGTTCATATCAACGCTGTTAATGCACCATTATTTCTCCAGCTTTCTGAAATCACAGTATCTAATATGCTGTTATCAGCTGAACTAAAATTTAGTTTCTATCACAGGGTAAGGTGAAGCCCGATAAAGTCAACTCTGAGTCTTAACTGCTGTCCCAAATGTTAACCAGCAGAGGGCACCTGATGCTCCAGATTTGTGTGACTCTGTGTGAGCTCCTCTGTGAAAGTTGTCCTCTAGAGTTCTGGAAGTGCAGATCATTATGTTCATGTTCTTATTTCTAGTGTGTAAGCAATGTAGCTTGCCTTGCTCGTGAACTTCAACTGGAACATTCCATCAAACAAATTGCAAGGCTCGTTACTATAAGCCAAGGAGTTTGACGAAATGTTGAATTCATGTTATGTTTGGCTGAACTTAGAATGAAGTGTGTAATGTCATGAAGATATTACAATTGAAATTTTTGAGTTTCTTAGCAGATGGCATCATATTATTTGTTACCCTCTGTAGTGTTTTTAATGGAAATGTAGTACAGTGTTTGTTTACTTCAAAAGGTTGTAGATGTTGTTGAGAAGTCATCATAGTGTGGCGATAAGAGTTTGTGGGGCATAACTTCATCATCTCTTTGTTAATTTTACTGTAATTAGAGTGGTATGTGCTCATCGGTCTGATCACAGGGGGGATTTTTTTTTTTGCAAATTTACATGTCACAACATTTATGTATATTGGTAAAGTTTCAAGAAAATATAACTTCTTAAGTTGAATGTTTTCATTCAAACCTGTTGGTTAACAAATCCGTGACAACCCGCTTGGTAACATTTGGGACAGGGGAACGGGAGTTTGCATAAAGAGGTTTGTGGAGGGATTAAACGTGGGAGATAGATTCTCTTGTTCGCTATACCCACTGTTCCTGAATACGTATAAAATGTTTTGGCAGTTTAATGAACAGAGGTACTAGTATATAGGAATTATTAATCCAGGATGGAGCCCTGCTCATGAATTAACACGTCCCTTGTGGGAAGAAATAAATTGGTGCAAGTTGAGGGAGCCAAGTCTCATTCCCTTCCAAAAATAAGATTTCCATTCCCTTCCTACTTCAATTCCGAGTGACATTCCCTCTTATCATTCAGTAGCCTTTTTAATCTTCTAAACTCTCAACTGGTATTCACATCAACTCTAGCAGATTCCCTAAAAAGGGACATTTGAGTTTTTTTAGGGGATTAAGCATCATTTAGCAGATCCCCTAAAACCTAATCCCCCCCCCCCCTTTCCACCCTAGCTCAAATATAGAATATAGTGAGTTGCTTCTTAGAAAAAAGATAGGGCCGCGCCGCGCCGCTTACCGTTTGTCCGCGGCTTTCTCGCCCGATCGGGACGCTGCTAGCGCTCGCCTCAAGCCGGCTGCCCC